GATATATGTTGAATAGATTGATTCATTCACTGTTTTCGTTTCATAAATTATTTTCCCGTGGTCACTACAAGCAAATCAAAGTGTAATATGCGCTGATAGCTAACTTGCATATGACAACGCGCTGCGCACGAAATGCAGCGATTATCTATAAGAGTGTAATGTGGAAGGGATGCTTTAGCAACAATTTTAGTTAACTTTTCTTTCTCAAATATGTAATAACATGTCATTTTTATATTTATTTTGCGACTATGCACAACACAAGTGCGGTATAAACGATGCGTCATGCAGCGCGACGCATATAATGTGATACTGATGACTCATTTTTAAAAGATGCGATTTCGGAACATAATAAAATCATATATGATTGAATTCAGCGTAAAAAATGCTACAACTTTTGTCATTACAAAAATTTTGAAATTCGAAAAAATAATAACAAGGGGTAGAAATAAATTTAAAAAATTACATTTTTTGAAAATCCAACTACACAGTTATAAAGCCCATTACAAGCCATACAACTTCTATTTGAAACATTTTTATATCTCCTACGGTTTTGGCGATAGTTACACACAAAGAAAAAACTGTTTTTTTCAAAGGGGTGTGTCCCCTTAAATTTGAGTTAGGGCCGCTATAAAAAAATACGTGTCTCCTCAAATTGTATGTTTTACAACATATTTCAAGGAGAATCAAATTGGGGGGGGGGGCACTTGTGAACGTTCCCTTGTAAGACAAAGTTTTTTAATTTAATTATATCTCAACAATAACATTTATTAGCTAAAAAATTCTTTTCTATGTTCCCATCACCAGAATCAGACGAAATTATTAAAAATTAAAGGATTAATCTGCTCAACAACAATAAATAATTGAAAAATCTTTAAAAACAATTTGTATTACTTTCTTAGCACTATAAGTGTTATTACCTAACTTTTTATACAAAAAATAAAAAAATTTTTTTAATGAAAATACAGTCGACATTATTACTCAAAGCGCATTGGTGAAATAATAAAAAGATAATTGAAACCCGTACAAGGCACACACATTTAAAAGCAGTTCCAAACTTTAAAATGCTTTGTTTCAAATTAAAAAACGATAATTTTTCGCGACGTTGCAATGCTTTGAAAATTGCTTTTTTTTAAACAATTTTCTTGATTTCCTAATTGTTGTTTGTAGAGTATTTTGTATCTATATTTTTAAATAATTTAGTCTTAAATAATGCATATTCACTAATCACAATATTATTAAATAAATAAATAAAAATACAACCAATAAATTTCAGTTAGACATATTTTATTTACGTGACAAAACTAAGAATGAAATAATTAAATACACAGCGGAAACAATATTACATTCGTAAGTTTAAAATCATTAAAACTTTACGTAATAGCTAATTACGTCAACTTGCTTATATAAACTCTGCTTCAGCGCTTCATCGTCCAGTCTTCAAACGATATCCGATATTACAGTGACACGGCGCCAAATTTTTAAAGCCAAAAAAACATCGCAACAAATAAAACAAGATAAAATAAGATAAGTATATTAGCAGCTATTTTTCTGCATTCGTATATCCAATAAAATTAGAATTATGGGTACCGAAAAAACATATCAATCGTATATTAATACCGAATCCAGTGACGAAATTGTTATTTCTGGCATGGCTGGCAGATTCCCAGGCTCAGACAATATAGAACAATTACAAAAAAATCTATTCAACAAAATTAATCTTCTTAGATTAAATCCTCGATGGAACATAGGTGATTAATTTATAAATTATAACTTTGCATTTATGTATAAATGTGATTAATGGTCTTTTCTTTGTCATTAATTACAGTAGATAATTATACATTTTGAAAATGTACTTCAAACTATACTTCTACAATAATAAATGTACAAAACACAATATAGTTACAATTTACAAATATATATTTATTAGAGTATTTGGACTTACCAACTCGCATGGGAACAATTAATAATCTGGAAAAGTTTGATGCCGATTTTTTTGATATGTCTTTTAAAGAAACAAATACGCTTGATTCTATGATAAGAATGTTACTGGAACACACTCACGAAGCAATTATCGATGCAGGGATCAACCCAAAACAATTACGAGGAAAAAATACTGCAGTAATCATTGGAACGTGTTACTTTGAATCACTAGCGACATTTGTATACAATAATTTTCAGGTGAAAAAGTCATTGATTGATAAATATAGTAAGAAAAAAATAATTGCAGATAAATTATAAAAATTATCATTTACATGTATAAATTTGTAATTGCTTATATCATGTTATTAGAAAAGACATAAATATTATTGAATATAGCAAATCTATGGTGGCAAATATGCTTTCATATTTTGTATCAAAAAGGACTACAAAATAAAGAAAAATTATTGATTTATGGAGATATAACACTACTACATAATTAAAATAAATTATATATATTCTCATAATAATTTTTGTAATTACAAGACTTATATAAATATATCACTACTTCCTGTAAATTAGATAACCGACGGAACCATTATAGGATGCTCTAAATCTGCAGCGGCAAATATGCTATCTCGCTCATTCGATCTGAAAGGACCGTCTCTTACAGTGGATACTGCCTGTAGCTCTGGTCTATACGCTATCGCAATTGCATATAATTGTATTATGTCAGGCCAATGCGAGGACGCAATAGTTGGATCCGTAAACCTTTGCTTATCTACTCTAATACAATTGCAATTCTATCGGCTTGGTATTATTTTCACTAAAATTACTTAATCTTATAATATAAGTTAATTTGATATACTATATTGAAAGAATACATACTGTACATTATTTTAGGTCTTTTATCTCCTGATGGAAATTGTAGGCCATTTGATATTGCCGCAAACGGTTATTCGCGTTCCGAAGCCGTGTCGGTAGTATATCTTCAAAAAGCTAAAAATGCAAAAAGAATTTATGCTATATGTAAGCACATTAAACTAAATAATGACGGTTACAAAGAAGAAGGAATAACATATCCATCGACACACATGCAGAGGGCTTTATTAACGGAGTTTTACAATGAGTGCAAAGTACCATCATCTGACTTGGATTACATCGAAACACATGCTACTGCTACTAAGGTTGGCGACCCTGAAGAAATCAATGCTATCTGTAACGTTTTCTGCAAAATAGAACAACACCATTGATGGTGGGATCTGTAAAATCCAACCTTGGTCACGCAGAACCTGCCAGCTGTTTCACACAAATCGCAAAAGTAAAACAATTTATTTAACAAATTATTTTGTCACAATAAAAAAACAAATTGTTTAGAATAACAAAGAAATTAAAACATTTAAAACAAATTACCAAAATAATTCTTTTATGTAATTTTAATATTATATTTTTTTATGCAACACTTTTGAGATAGAAATATTTCAAATAATAACTACAATTAACGTTGTTAAAAAAAACATTAAATAATGTTAATCCTTTTATTTAAATGTAATGATTACCAATTTCATCAATAAAGTATAAACTATAAATTCTTTATTTATTCAAGGAAGATTATCTTCTGAATACAAATAGACATAAACATCCTTTTGCTGAAGCGTTTAGTTGCAAATATTACATTCCATGTTATTAATCTTTTAACTGTCTAACAGCAAAGAAAATAAATCAAGTACTATAATTAATTCAAATTTATATATCAAAATTTATTAATTTTTG